GCCCCAATCCCCAGGGGAAAGGTTCTTTGACCTGGAGGATACACTGGGCAGACAAAGCCAGATTCTGCAGGCCCTCCAAGCTCTCTCCAGGCAGCTGGACCAGGCTGAGAAGCAGTGGAAACAGCAGCTGGGGTCTACAGTTCAAGTCAGGCCTGAAGGAGGCTGGGTGAGTGACCCTGGGGTAGCCTAGTTTCTACCCACAGCTTGAAAGAATAGTGGCAGTCTAGAGCTAGCCTTGTCAAAGCTTGGAGGGAAAGGAGAGCAGGTCACAGGATACAACAGGGCGGTGTGTAAGAGGACAGTAACACATAGCAATTGTCCTGGAGCCACAGGACTGGGCTGCAGAGAAGAGATGCCAGGTATTTGAAATCTGGTCTATAGACAAATGGCAGAAATAGACTAGGCGCTAATTTGCATATGGCTTCACGTGTGATTTGCATAAGACTTGCTTAAATGCTCAGTTGCACCAGAATCCTCATTTCATCTCTGCTGCCACACCAGCTCCTCCCCCAGGTGTCATTCCCTGGGACATGCTCTGACTTGGGGAGTGAAAGGTAAACCCAGCCAAAGTGCTGGCTAGTGGGCAGAGGGAGCCAGCCATTCATGCAGGTTTTGCTGGGCTCTGCCAGCCCGAGGTTTTAATCTTTTGTCCTCAGTCCAGAACAGTCTAGGCTAGGCTGTTGGAATGACACAGAGGGAAGAGACCCCCACTCCCGGTATCTCTGGTCCTACCTTCATGCCCTGGACCCCACTTGCATGATTCCACTCCTCAGAGTATCAGCTGTGTCTCCAGGTCACTCTGCCAGACTTGGACCCATGTGCTGGATTTTAACCAGTGCTGGCCCTCAGTTTGGATTGCAGCCTAGGAGAAAGACACAAAAAGGATTGGGTTGGGCTTCTGCCTCAGTGAGGGGGCAGGGATACTTTTTAAAAGGAGGATTTATGGAAAGCCTAGAGGGCCCTTTTGGGAGAAACAACACACCTTTGGTGTGGAAGGAGGGTCCTCCAGAAGCAGATAGGTAAGTTCTATGGGAGACCCAGTGTGCCGAACAGAGGAGACCCATGGCTATTTAGTAAGGCTTCCAGAAGAAAAGTGAAGTATCCCTGAGGAAGATGCACTCTGAGGAGAGGGCACTGCACTCTGGACACTAGATAAGAGCCGGCCCTCCTGTAGAACACTGCCCAGGTCGACACCCTCCTCTATGGACAGCGGACTCTGCTCCAGGCCCTGCAAGAGATGAGGTAAGGGAGAGAGTGAGGAGGGGGACTAAGAGGGAAGAAGGGCTCCTCTGTCATTCTGACTCTGTCAGATTCCAGCCCCCAATGCTGGGCTATAGGTACCTATAACTATACCTGGCTTTTTAACCGTGTGCTGGGAATGTGAACTCAGGTCCTGTGCTTGCAAAGCAAGCACTTTTACCCATTGAACCATCTCCTCAGTCCCTGAGGACATTTGTTTTGATAAAGGTTCTTGGAGGAAGCCTAGCCAAGATGAGGCCCTTTGGAGGAAGTGATGTAAACCCAGTTTGCCTCCAGTCTCCCAGAATCTCACTCTGGTTCACCCTTGCCTGTGAAGTTCCCCGTGGAGCTCTGGGGGTTGGGAGATCCCTTGCACATTCTGGGTCCTGTGGCTGTAAATCTCCATCTAGATGCCTGGAGGTGGCAGAGGGCAAGAGCCTGAGAGGAGTTAGTTCCCCTGGGCTAGAGATGAAAAGCAGAGTCCAGGGAGCCTGGCCCATAGACAGACACTTTTAGAGAATTCTTTGGGTACACTAAAATTGTCTCGGGTTCTAGGGAGAAGTTTTTTTAGAGAAAAAAAACAGCCCCAAAGAAAAGACTCTATTAATGATACCTATTCTTTACCATGTGCTGGCCCTGGATGATTATGGGAAAAGATTAGGTAATTTGGGTACAACCAAGAAGTGTAATGGATCATCTTTCTTGATTTCCATGCCCCACTACACCACCAGGAAAGCAGCTGCCCAAATGGCTTCAGGAGCCCAGGTCTTCTACCTGCCTGTGGGCACTAAGCATCACTTTTTTGAGCTGGACCAGATCCTCAGCCTCCTGCAGAAGGACCTCCGGGGTCTGGTGGTAAGAAAGAGTGGATCGTACAAGGGACTTGTCCTTGAGGTCTGGTCTCTGCCACCCTTCTCCCAACACTTCTACAGCTTTAGAGCATCTGTCCAGTAACCCTAACAGGCACATCTGTATCTGTGTGTGCCTGCACACGGGCATGAAGAGGCACAGATCTCATCTTGGCCTGCTCTCTCTGTCTCTTTGTGTTTTTTGAAACGGGGGTTTCTCTGTGTAGCCCTGGAACTCCCTGTAGACCAGGCTGGCCTTAAACTCACAGAGATCCGCCTGCCTCTACCTTCCAAGTGCTGGGATGAAAAGCGTACACCTGGCTATCTTTGCACTCTCTTGCTCAGGAAGAAGGCCCACAAGCTCAACACTACCCAAGTGCCCTAGATGGCCAGAAGAGAAGTGGGTAGACTATGCCAGAGCCACTCAGATTCAGTGGCGGTGCTGATCTTCCTGGGTCTCTGTCCTTCCTTGTTCTTTCCCTTGCCCTCCAGGCACCATCTGCTTCTCCTTCTCTCTCATCTCTTACGCCTTTGGTCTGTTGGTGATTCCAGGATCTATATCTTCTGAGCTATTCCCACAGATGGAACCATGCAAGATTGGAGAAGGAGGCAGCTTTGGACACTTGTCTTTTTTCCTCGCTCTCTAGATGACAGCCCCAGGATAGTTCAAGCCTGGGGGAGGAAAATAGAGACCATGCAAAGCAAAGATTCCAGTCCCCCCACCCCCCGCTCCTGCTTTAGATGCTGAGGCAGGGCCTCATGTTTTCCCCTTTCAGAAAATGACAGCCAAGGCTCCCCGCCCATCTGGCTGGCTCTTGGGAACTTCTTCATGTCTTCACACCAGCATCTTCCTGTTCGTCCTCCTCATCCAGACTGTGGGCTTCTTCTGCTACATGAACTTCAGGTGGGCCTTCCCACGGGCAGAACTTCCCATACCACCTATATATCTTGGTTCTGGTCTACAACCATTGAACTTGAAATAGGGGACCCTAAAGCTCAGATGGGAGCTACCCAGTTCACCAGAGGGCTGGGAGCAGAATGTAGACCAGGGACAGCTCACTTATCAAGTACATCTACCCACTCAGGCCCCAGTCCCATCGGATCCTGCCCCACAGAGCTCACTCTAGAGTGAGCAACTGAAAGCTAACTGATAGCCAGACCTTATGTTGTCAGTGTTGTGATGGCTGGAAGCTTGGAGAATTTGGAAAAAGCAACGGAATCATCTTTGGGGTGGGTTTGAGGTGAATAGGGATCAGGGAATTGACCTGGAAAGGATATTTGATTTGGGTCATCAAAGTGACTAAGAGTTTTTCAGCCTGACAAAATAGGTAAAGGCACTCATGCAGAGGGAACGGCATCAGAAAAAGCATGGAGGCATGAAAAAAGCATCTTTAAGGGAAAGAAAAGGCAGCAACCGAATACTGTTGAAGTAAAAGGCAAGACCAATTTACAAGATTGGGCAAGGAATCTTGGTGTTCTGGATTAGAGATGAATGCCTTTAATCTCAGCACTTGGAAGGCTGGGGTAAAGGGATGCCAAAATCTGGGCCAGCCTGGGCTACATCGTGAAATCTTTTCTTAAGAAGGAGGAGGAGGAGGAGGAGGAGAAGTGTGCATAGGAGTGCAGCTTTGGCACTAAGCCACCCAGAAAAACTTCAAATGCCAGGGTGAAATGTGAACTTATGTGGCATGTCAAGGGGGCCATAGAAGGTCCATAATATGGGAGTCTGTGGAACATGGAGTATTGAGAGACAAGTGTGAGTCTTGGTTTCAGAAGGGGGACTCAAGTAACTGTTTCTTTCCGGCAGCAGGCAGGAGCTGGACAACAGGTTTAAGGAGTACCTGTCCACAGGAAGCCCTCCTCTAGAGCCTGCACTGCCCATCCCCAGGACACTAGGGGCTCTGAGGAGACAGCCTGGCCCCCACAGTATGCAAGCTTGACCCACCTCAAAGCCATGTCTTACCAGGAGACAAATGGGGGATGGAGGATTTGGCCTGTATCCTTCCTGAGTGCCACATCTTAGCTTTTGGCAAGCTCCTCATATTAAAGGTGATGTTCCTCTTGCCTTGCCGATCCCCTCATTTACCTTCCAAACTCACATAGTCTCTGATAGCTTCCACCTTCTCTAGGTAGGTAGCAGGAATAGGGTCCGAGCAGACAAGAAGGCCAAGGGCCAGGTACCCACACAGCCTTTTCCTCTGGACTACTGAAGCCAAGGGAGACAACTGTGCAAAATTCTGACCCTAAACTCACCAAGGACAAGGAGAGGTCCCCGGGTTCCTTCTGGCTCATCTTTTCAGTGCCCCCAAACAACACTCCCCTTCCCCACACCCTGAGGCTCCAGGGACAGCAGGGTAGACACATGACAGAGGAACTGAGCTCAAACTCACCCAACCATATAACTGGGATTCCTGCTCAAGCTCTTGAGGTGTCCCCACTCCCCAGCCTTGAGTGCTTTTAAGGCAGCTGATAGGGGTCAACAGATTGGAAGATGCAATGGGACCCAAGGCTGGGGTGTTTGGCTCTTGATGCTACCGGGCTCTCCAAGCTGAAGTCCTAGTTCTCGATGACGTTGCAGGGATCAAGGCACACATCAGCGCAGCCCCTTCTCCCAGGGCAGCGACCCCACCACCATAAGCCCTAATCAGCTGTCAGCAGTAGCCAGCAGAGCTTGGCTGGCGCTAAAGGAGGCACGTGGGAAAGGCGGGAGTGATGAGCGGGCACGTGGTCCAGGCTTCTCAGCCCCGTGCATGCCCCCTCCCATTCCCCCTCATCCCGTGAGGAGGGGTTTGGGAAAGTAGGGGTGGCGCGCAAAGCGTGGGACGCGAGCTCGCCGCCGGAGCTGTCCCTGGGACTTAGTGCTGAAGTAGGCGCCGACGAACCAGGCGCCTGGTACAGTGGCCAGAGAAGACCATGGCGTTCATGGTGAAGACCATGGTGGGTGGCCAGCTGAAGAACCTCACCGGGAGCCTGGGGGGCGGCGAGGACAAGGGGGATGGAGACAAGTCTGCAGCCGAAGCACAGGGCATGAGCCGAGAAGAGTACGAGGAGTATCAGAAGCAACTGGTGGAGGAGAAGTAAGTGGAATTCCTTCTTCGCTCCTGCGACCTGCACACAAATACACTACCGCTGCTATGCCCACCCCTGGGTCAGAGCTCCCCTTTACATCTCCTAAACATGGTAAGAGGACGGGAGGTGCCCTGTGGGCTACTTTCACAACCATCCCATTTAAAACCCAGGACCCTGTTCCAGCTTCATCCTCTGACCCAGGGGAGTTGGGGGAAGGGTGATAGGGTGATGAGTGTGGGGGGGGCGGGGGGGCGCAGAGGTGCACGTGCAGCTCTGGTGAAATAGTTAATCCCTTAATCCGATCTGGTCTTAACCGCCTGTCTTCCAACTGGGGCTCCTCTGAGCCCGAGGCTGTAAGAAAAGTGCTTTTCATCAGGCAGGGCACAGAGTCTCAGGGACATGTCCACAATTTGGCTATTAGTAGATACTGAACCTACTGTGTGCAGAAGTTCTAGGGTGGAGTAGAGACAGAGTGAGCTAGAGTCTGGATTTTGAGGTGAGGCTGCTTGGCTCAGAGCCTCGTTTTGCTTATTAGCTGAGTAACTTTAAGAAAGTCACTTAGCATTTCTGTGACTCCTTTCCCCTTCTGGAAAATGGGAGTGTTAATCACAATACACGCTTTATATATTCCTGAAAGCTGAATGACTTCATGCATGTTAACCCTTTTAGTACAGCACCTGGCACATGGCAAATCTTCATGAAATGCTAACAACTATTGTCATTTTATTGAATCCTTGTAGTTTTGTGAGTTGCAAAGTTTCAGCCCCACTTTACAAAAGAGGAAGGTAAGTGATTTACTGAAGGACATATCAAATATCAAAAGTGGCAGTGGAGCCATGGGCTAAGTCCAGAGTACCCCCCCACACACACACACATCCTTGCACGTATACCTTCACTGCCCCCTTCACACAGCTTATCAGAGAAGGAATGACAGACCCCAGTCAGAGATTGCAAAGGACATGTATTAGGATCTTCAGAGAGAGAGAGAAAGAGAGAGAGGGACTGCCACCCAGTCAACTCTGTCCCTTGGCAGGAGTAAAGAATACAGAGAAAGGACATTGTGATGGCTGGTTAACAAAGCTAAGCCGGCCAGTCTGAGATGACTGGGCACAGACCAGCTGAGGCTTGGAGAACCCATACAGCCTTTCCCAGGTCTTCCAGACCATTTTAGCCCTTCCTTTGCAGACAGCCCATACCTTCTCTCAACCCCTGAGGCATCTTCCCAACTGGTGTCCTTTTCCCACGCAGGATGGAGCGAGATGCACAGTTCACACAGAGGAAGGCAGAACGGGCCACACTGCGGAGTCACTTCAGAGACAAATACCGTCTGCCCAAGGTATCCAGGGCCTAAATTGTGAGGTGCTCCTGGGACCCTGAGCACTGGGAGCTGGACTTCCTCAGGGCCCCTTAACTCTCAGCCCATTTTTCCTTTTCTTACTCATTTTTTCACTCACTCCTTCATTCATTCACATACTCGGAGCTGAGACAGATCCTGGGCCTTTGGAAGCTTACAGGCTTGTGTTTGTAGAGTCAGTTCTTCTTTCCTTCACTTTCATCTCTCCAACCTGGGTCAATGCTGGCCCATAAAGATGATTATGTAAAGGGGTGAGCTCTTATGTGGCTGTTGAATACATTCGGAGAGCTGGCAGGAGGAGAGAATATGACTCCTTTCTGTGCACTAGGTACTAAACCTTCATGTCCTCACCTGACCGTCTCAATAAAGCTGCTAGGTAATTGTCACTTCATGTGTGAAAGAGGAAACTGAGCTCAGGGAGACTAAGAGACTCCTAATGTCATAACAGCCACTGGGTGAAAGTTCAGCTCCAGTCCTCAGGCTACTTTCCAAGATATAGGGTTTACATACAAAGAACAAAGTACCCCCTTAGCCTGTCTTTGTCTCAGGAAGCCCTACTCCATGCTCCCCAAGACGCTGTAGCCTTAGATACCAATGTGCTACTTCTACATGGGACAAGCCACTTCCCAGAATATCACCTTTGTGTGCCCAGAGCTGCTGTTCTAGATTCCAAGGAGTAGGGTGCCGTAACCTTGGCCTTGATTTTCTACTTGGGTTCAGAGATCAAATATGTTGTATCACATTTACCCATCTAACAAGTGTTTACTGAGATCCTGGCTGCCACTGACTTCTCATAAGTCTCTCAAAGGCAAATCTGGTTCAGAAAGTCTGCATTTTTGAAAGTACAGGTAGCAATGGGGTCATGGCTCAAATGCTTACACTAAACATGTAAGAGACATTACTCTGCCATAAGGGAATTTTGAGTCTAGTAGCCAAGAAAGACTTGCAACTGTGTAGTTACACAGGAGAAGACTCCCCAGAGGCCTAGGGGAGTATGGTGGCTCTCAGTAGGTGCAAAAGGAGTACAGGAAGTGGAATAAGTGACAGGTCTGAATCTAGCTTACCACTTCCCTTCCTACTTGTATGATCTTAGGCAAATTGTTTAAAATCTCTGAGTCTTTTTTTTTTTTTTCAATTTGGCAAGTAAAGTAGAGATGACAGGTCCCATGTTGCTGAGGATGGCCTTGAACTCCTGACCCTTCTGCTTCCACTTCTGAGTTCTGAGATCACAGATGTGGGCCACTTCTCACTTTTTTCCTAGTTTTTGTTCGTTTGTTTTGAGACATGTCTCATTATGTTGCCCTGGCTGGCCTGGAACTTGTAATGGTAGATCAGGCTTTGAACTCAGAGATTCCCTGGCCTTTGTCTCCCAAGTGCTGGAATTAAAGATATTTGTCACCACTTCTGGCTTCTCCTAGTTTTGTTTTTTTTATTTTTGTTTGTTTGTTTTGTTTTGAGACAGGGTTTCTTTGTGTAGCCCTGGAATTTGCTTTGTAGCTCTGTAGATCAGGCTGACCTCAAACTCAGAGATCCACCTGCCTCTGTCTGCCTGCTTGGATTAAAGGTGTGCATCACCATTGCTGACAATTTCCTAGATATTTTTTAGTTGCAAAAAGTAAAAGCATTCTTGGTGCTAGAGAGATGTCTCTGTGGTTAAAACCACTTGTTGCTCTTGTAGAAGACTGGAGTTTAGTTCCCAGCATGCACAACAGAAACTCACAACAGACCCCAGCTTCAGGGGTCTGAAGCCCTCTTCAGGCCTCCATGGGTGCCCCCACACACATGCACATACATACACATAAATAATATAATAAAAAAATTAAAAGCACCTAGTTTGCTGTCAACCATAGACTAGGTATTGATTGATATAAGGTACTCATCACTATTTTTGTTGTGCCAGTCAGTGTAGTTAGCCACAGTCAACACATGACTCAGCTGGCCATAACAGAGTGACATTTTCCTTTTTAGTCTCTCTGCTAGTCCTTCAGTATCTCAGGTGAGTAAGGCCGTGCAAAAAGCTGCAAGGTTTGAAAGTGCAAAGTCTCCACATCCACCTATGGAAGGCTTGACTCAGATGTGGGGGCAGATGCTGACCTTACTGGAATATGGCCTCCACGAATCCAGGGCCCCAGAACCCAGCCTTCAGCCTTCTAGGTCCTCCTAGACCTCCACCCTTGACTCATCTCTCTTCCCTTCAGAACGAAACAGATGAAAGCCAGATCCAGCTGGCAGGTGGAGACGTGGAGCTGCCTCGGGAGTTAGCCAAGATGATCGAGGAGGACACAGAGGAAGAGGAGGATAAGGCCTCTGTGCTGGGGCAGCTGGCCAGCCTCCCTGGCTTGGACCTCAGCTCACTCAAGGACAAGGCCCAAACTACACTAGGAGACCTCAAGCAATCAGCTGAGAAGTGCCACATCATGTGACCACTTCCCCTGGGGTTGCCTCTGGGTGGCCAGAGGGCTGGTCTCACATGAGGGCTAAGAGAGTGTCTCAACTTCCAGATACCTCCATTCCATCTTGGGCTTTTTCCCCCTGACCCACCCAGCCTAGCCCCAGAGACTTCTCACCCAGCCCAGGCTCTGACTCTCCCTCTCTATTGCCAAGTTCCCATTCTTCCCTCTGTCTCTCTTCTGCCTGGAAAGTTTCCCAAGTTGATAGGATTAGCCCAACCCTCTCTGGGTACAGCCCCCTGTTCTTTCACACAAGAGCACTCACAGAAGGACACAGAAGCCCTGGCTCATTTGCCACAGATACATCCTGGCACACATAGACACACATCCCTCGGATGCCCAGCCCTCCAGACACCAGCTCTTGGATGCTCAGAGGGACTCTGGGCACACAGGAGGCCTGTTCCTAGTCCCACCTTTATCATCCTAGAGCTGCTCCTCCTGGGTTTCATCTCATCATCTGTAAAATGGGGATGGACTGAGTGATTTCTAAAATTCTCTCCTGATTGGCATCCCTGGCCACTCAGAACAGAGCCCACATCCCTTCTTGGGCAGGGCAGCAGCTGCAGCCACAGCATCACACAGCTGCCACTGTGGGCTCTGGGAATGGAGCAATGCTGTGTGAGGGGCGGAGTGCCAAGGATGGAGCTGGCACTGAACAGTAGCTCAAACAGCTCCAGACCTTCTCTGGGCCCAGGGCCCAGCCAAATTTTGTTCTGTTCCTGTAGAATTCTCTGGATTCCATAGTTGGAATTTCCTCTTCTCGTTCAGTGGAAAAATAAAAATTCTAAATGGCATGACTATCTTCCCACTTCCTGCTGACTTAGAGTTCACAGGCCCCAGGCCTGCTCTTGGAGGGGTACCCTCTACCTCTTCATCTGCAGCTTCAGAGGGCCCTAGGAGAGGAACGAGAAAATGGGGCTTCTGTGGGACCCACTCTTTAGTGTCAGCACCTAGAAGAGTGCTCTCTCAGCACTGTCCATGAGGGCAGGGACTTCACTGAGGAAAGCAGAGGCACTGTGGGCTAGATGAGAGTTAGAGGAGGGTGTGGCAGCCAGCTGGATGGAGAGGTGCATGGGAAGGTGGGGCTTTTTGGTGTTTCCTGAGGTTAGAGAGAGGGCTGTCTCTGACACCTGTCCTGTAGTGTCCCCTCACCTAAGACATGGAGAATGAAACAGAGAGAAGAAAGAATCACCATGCTCCTGCCTGGCACTGCTGTGTGTCCTTAAGTAAGTCCTTTGCTTCTCTGAGCCTGTGTTGCTCTTGGGAAAATGAAGAGTTCTCTTCCCCAAGAATAATAATATGGGTTTCAAAGAGTGGCTATTTGTTTTTGGTTTTTTTCCCCCTTGGTAGTGCTGGGGACCCAGGGCCTCACACACTGCATACTAAGGCAAGTGCTCTACCACAGAGCTATTTGGACACATTCTTTAAAATAACAGAGGTGGAAGGACCAGCAGTCATGCTGCCCTAAATGACACCCACTGGTGAAGGCAGCATTAGTTTCTGGCACCTGGTAGAGAGGTAGCCTGAGGTGGGAAGCTGGTGTCCTCAAAGAGATTATGTTCTCTGTCTGTCTGTCTGTCTGTCTGTCTGTCTGTCTGTCTGTCTGTCTGTCTGTCTCTCTCTCTCTGTGTGTGTGTGTGTGTGTGTGTGTGTGTGTGTTGGTTGGTTGGTTGGAATTAATGTTACTTTGTTTTGTTTGAGACACAGTCTCATGTATGGCCTCAAACTGCTACGTACGTGGTGATGACCTTGCCTCCACTTCCTCAGTACCTTGATTACAGGAATGGGCCACCATACCCAGTTTAGACTGTTCTTGGAATCTAACCAAGGGCTTTGTGCATGTTAGGCAAGCACTTTTACCAACTGGGCTGCATCCTCACCTTCTATGTTTGGTGTTTTCAACTTTAATTTGATTTTATTATTTTATGTGTATGAGTGATTGTCTGCAAATATGTATGTGCACCATGGGTGTGCCTGGTGACCAAGGAGGCCAGAAGGCGTCAGATACCCCTGGAACTGAAGCTACACGTGGTTTTGAGTTGCTGTGGGTGCTGGGAATTGAATCTGTGTCTGGAAGGGCAGCCAGTGCTCTTAACCATGGAACCATCTCCTCATCCCCTTTGTATTTGAGAGGGGATCTCACTATCTAGCCCAGGCTAGTCTGGAACTTTAATCTTCCTGATTTAGCCTCCCTAGTGCTAGGATTACAAATGTGCAGCAACACTGTGTATGACTTTAGTAAGGAATCAGAAGAGAGAAATGTTTTTCTTAAATGAAGATTCCAAATGTCATCACACTCTCTGGTGGCTGGCAGGCAGGGTGGGGGATGGTGTTTTGCAAGTTCCAAATAGCTGCTCAGTGGGTCATCCCAGGAGCTTGCTAAGGCAGTGCTACAGGCACCTGGTGCCTCCTGGCCTTGCCATCTAAGTGCTAGCCTTTGGGGAAGCCATCACTATTACAGGCAGGAAAAGCAGCTGGTTTTCAAGTGCAAAGTTTCCATTAGGTCTCCCTGTAAAATAAGAACAAGGGAGAGCAGGTAATGTTGAGGTGGACGACAGAGGAAGGGAAATTAATGGATTCGGACAGAAGGGATCTAGGCCCCAATAAAATGAGAGTAGAAATGGGGGGTGGTTCTCCGGGCTGTCACACTGGGCATCCTTTGAACATCCTAGAGAGTCTCTGCCATGCTCCTGGTCCACCCCCTGGGGAAGGGCTTAGAAGCCACTGGACAAAACCTTCTCTGACCTTCCCAGAGGAGCCCTGAGCTGGGGGTGGGGGGAGCTTGGGCTGCCTCAGCAGCATCAACAGCAGGGTCCACGTCAGGCCTCCACCCTCAGGGGCCTTCTGCCTAATGGAATTGGACAACCCCTTCCCCCTCAGTGCTTTGCTGGCTGAGAAGGAGGCCAGCATGGCAGGTCAGGTGGTAGGGGTGCTTGGGGGCACTCACTGAACCCTGTCAAAGCAGGGCTGTTTTGGGCCCCGAGGTTAAATGGAAGGGGCCTCTGCCTCCCCAATGATTTCCCCACTCACATCCCAGGAACTCCATGAGTCCCTGACCTGTCTCTTGTGTCCCTGGAATAGAGTAAAAGGAGGCTCCAGGGCAAAGGAACCAGTCTAAAGCTCAGGCAAAAATAGGTAAGGTGGCCAGGCTGAGCCCCACCCCCATCTTTGTCAGATGTACTACTGGATTTTTCTGTCCATCCATGAGCTCATCTGCATCCCCCAATACCATCCTCATTCTTGGCTCCACGCCCTTCACAGGGAGCGGCTAACCCAGCCAAGCTGGAGCCGTCTTCTGTACGGGCCCTGGGCGTAGCCAACTCAAGCTCCAGCTCTCCCATCCTGTTTCCACTCCTATTTAATATAGTCACATACTCCAGGACTGGTCCACCCATCAGATACGAAGTAAAGACCACAAAGGAAGCCATGCCTCCATCATTTCCCTTGTAACAGAGCCTCAGGCCTTCTCTTTCCCTCCCATCCTTGTGCTTTCTCCCTTTTTCCTTCTTTCCCGTGCAGGACACAGGAAATGTCCAGAGATGATGAAACAGTGTCTTTCTCGCCCCAGTTCTTACTTCCTGACCTCCACCCCCAGCAAGTGTAGATATCTTAAAGAAAAATGAGAATTCACAAAATTGTGCAGGGATTTCAGGGAAGAATATCTCAGGACAGGGGAGATCAAAATACATAGCCTGTTCCTCTCACCCCACAGCGTACACATCAAGGTCTCTGGCTCTACAACACACAGGATTGCAGAGAAATTAGTGGCACCTCAGAACCCTACCTAAGGGGCCTCTAGTCTGCTTTTCCTGCTTCCCACCCACCCAGGCAGCTCAGGCCCAGTTCCCAGTGGGAAGAGGAGTGCAGAAATAACAAGTGGCTTTCTAAGGCCAGCTGTTTCCCAGGGCAGGGGTGGGGAGGGTGGCCAGGGTTTGGAATGTGCGGGATCTCCCTTTCTCCCAACAGCCAGATGGTCCCTCTGTAGACACTGGAAGCCCTAGGCAGGCACTGGGGACATCTGGGGCATATTCACTTGTCCAGCTGAGCTCCTGACAGTGCCTATTGACCCAGCTGACGCTCAGCTCAGTACTGGGAGGCAGGAGCTTCTGTCTTCTGTCCCACAGAGCTGAGGTTGCAACAGGGCTGGAGAGCTGTGGAGCCCATTATCCTGCCCCTGACCCTGTGACTGCCAGACATTGCTAATCCCATAGATTGTGTGAGGTATGGGGAGGCACTGGAGTGGGTCTAGGGGTGTAGCAGTACCAACGCTGCCTCTGCCTCACTCAGCAATACCTGTGCCTGCATTTCCATAACCATAAATGTAGGCCTACATGTGAGCTTGGACACAGCTTTGTTTCTATGTCTCTGTGTGTTTGGTATTTGAAGTGATAGCTTGATAGTGTAGATATTACTACGGAGAAAAGTGGTCATTGCTGTGCCTCACCCCTCCTGCCTCAGCTTCATAGTGGGGGCCATATCCCTCTTAGGGAAGCCTGGGACAGCAACTTGGCTTCTGGGGCTTGAGTCCTTCCAGATAACCTTCATGAACTAAGACTGTATATCTTTTCCTATATCCCCAGTAGGAAAAAGAAAGAAAGAGAGAGAGAGAGAGAGAGAGAGAGAGAGAGAGAGAGAGAGAGAGAGAGAGAGAGAGAGAGAAAGAGAGAGAAAGGCAGAGGGTTGCAGGTTGGGCCCAAAGATACCTGGGTCCCTTGGTCTATTCCAAAGGCTTATATGCTCCTCTAAGGGCTGGCCCTTGGGAAATTGGGAGTTCCAGGCCCAGGTGCTGTCCTTGGCTCAGTCTGGTATTGGGTGAGTAGAGCTGGGAGGACAGGGGATAGAGCTCCAGGATGGACATTTTTTAAAGCCTTGAAGGTACAAAGTGGCAGCAATTCTCCACCTTTCAAATGAAAAATGTTTGAAAAACAGATCTTAAGCTTCCTTTAGGCCTGTGCCACTAGAAAAGTTCTCTGGAGCCCACTCCCACCTTGCTCCAGCACCTATACTACTCACCTGCTTCATAGGTGGCTTAGCAACAGGACTGCCCCAGAGGACACCAATTCAACACCTAGGAGAAGTCCTTCCCAGAGCCTCAGACTCCCATGTCCTTCCTGTATTGTGTGTCCCATGCAGGTCCACCTGTATTGAATTTCAGGCCCCTGTTTGTAGACAGCTGGCCAGTGCAGCTACCACACTAAACAACGCTCTAAAGACATGATGCCCCTCTGCTTACCCTTCTGTGGGCGTCACCCATCCTGTTATCCTGTCTCCCTCCCAGCCATTCTTCTCCATTCATCCTCTCCTTCCTTTCCCTAATTTTTCTTACTGAAACTTTTTATCTGCTCCATTTCCAGAGAAAATCTGAAGTATGTATTTCTCCCTACATCTGAAAATAACTTTATTGCCCTCATGCAATATACCAGACCTTAATACACTACCTTATAAAGGCTAAACAATAACCTAATTTTACAATTCAAGCATTTGGACAAGGACTTCAGCAGCTCCTTCTGCCCTCTAGAACACTGGTCCACACTGCCCCCCAATGGCTAGGCCAAAGACTTAAAAGAAAATTCATGCTTTCTGACTTGGCCCCTCCTGTATCATGGTCATAGGCCAAGAATCATTGAGGCAAGAGACTGTTGGAAATTACCCCAGTCAAGAGATCTTTGGGGGACTAGGAATGAGAAGAAGAAACCCTAAAAGATTCCCTTTTCCTAAAATCCAGGTTGCTGCTCACTCACTTGCCCAGATCATGGGGGAATGAGAGGCCTGGGACATGAATAGGACATGGAGTGTGCAGTGTGGGATGGTGTAGAGAGAGAGGAGTGTTTTAGATGGCTTGTCATCTGCCATAATCTGAGGTATGCAGAGCAAGGGCATGGCTGGACTCCCAGGCCTGTGCACCCTTGCCCCCAACACACTGGTGGTGGGCTGAGAAGGTGGCAGTCAGCAGGAACTCTTGGATCCCCAGAGACTAAAGGCAGATGTGCAACTGTCATTTGCCTTTGGGACCACCCTAGTCTGGTTCCCCAGCTTTTCCTGAGTTAGGAGCAGGGCCATTTTTCCCATTTTTCCAAGGCAAGAAGAGATATGTAAGTATGGAAAATAATTTAATAGAGAAACAATAAATGCATTCTTTACATACATCCAGCTTCCAGCAAGGAGGATGTTCCACTTTGCCCTAAGGAGGCAGTTAAGGGTGGAATGATTGATTAGAAATCACCAAGTCTCTGACTTTAGAAATAACCCCTGACACACCCACACCCCCCCACACACACACACACATGAAAAAGAAACCCTCACCAATTGTGGTTTGGGGTTATCTGGTGCAGAATAGCTTCCTTGTTCCTTATTCAAATATCAGCCTTCAACACAAAAATTTGAAACAAGATAATGATTTGGGGGTAGGGGATAAAAAAGAAACCCTCTACTAATTCCAGATATGTAAATTCAACTCTAGCTCACAGCAGTTATAAGCTGTGGAAGTACCCATGGCTTAATAGGACAGAAGGGAAGACCCAGGCCCAGCCAAGCCCCCGCTATAGCACAGGGCCCACTATATGGCTAGTGTGGCATATTCCCCCCCAAAGAGGGCTGCAAGTAGGAGAGAGGAGGACCCCTCCTCTGTGCCAAGGCAGGGACAAGCCTGGAATTCTCACATGTGCCCCACCCCTACAAAGGACAGGACTTTCATGCATGAAGGATTGTCGTAAGTACTGAAAGGATGGCAGGTGTGTACTCCCAGGAAGACTGGAGAGTTCTGCAGGGCTGAGTGCATACTGTAGGGCAGGTAGTCCCTGAGGGGTATTGGAGTGTCCATTCCAGTGCAAGAAGGGAGTGGGGTTTGAATAAAGGCTTCCAGGAAGGGCTGGCCCAAGTACGACAGCTGCCTGGTAGCAGGGAAAGAATAGAAGTGCCAGGCGTGGGTGGTGCACGCCTTTAATCCCAGCACTCAGGAGGCAGAGGCAGGAGGATCTCTGTGAGTTCGAGGCCAGCCTGGTCTCCAGAGCAAGTGCCAGGATAGGTTCCAAAGCTACACAGAGAAACCCTGTCTCGAAAAACAAAAAAAAAAAAAACAAAAAAACAAAAACAAAAAAAAAACAAAACAAAACAAAACAAAAACCAGCCCCAAAAAACAAAAAAAAACCCTCCCCCCAAAAAACAAAAACCAAAACAGACGGGCCCAGAAGAGGCATGATATCCGCTCTGCAGAGCAAAACACAGTGTGATGATGTCCTGAAGCCAGCATGCTTACTCCAGCAATCACCTAATAACAAAGTCATATTAAAGTAATTCTCCCAGAGATTAGTACACGCGGCACAGTACACTGGCCACCATGTCCTCCGGGAGTGGAGAATGTTCAGAGGAACACTGGCAACTAGGATGTGGCCATCTTGGAGGTGTTCATCCAGGAAGGTCCCAGGTGCACAGGTGTGAACCTGGGTTGGTACAAAGCTTCTCTCTAGGCCTGTGTTCCATCCGCTAGTCCTTCCGTTGTTACTGTAGTGTGCAAGCTAAGAGAGGTGAAAGGGAAGTCAGGCTTAGGTCTCTGGCAAGAGAGGCAGAATCTATAACCCTGTTATGGGCTGTCAGACCCCAGGGCAGGACTCACAGCTACGAACAGACTCCGACAGCCCCTCTTTGTCCAGTGTCTCAGCTTCCCAGTGAGATTCCCTTATCTGTGGGATGTAAAGTAGGGCAAAGGGTAAGGCAGACCAGCTAAACTCAGAAGCCACAGTGAACATACCACCACAAAGAGGAAGAACCCACAACCCACTGCCCAGTGTGGCCCATCCATGCCCACCTTGATCTGCTCTTTCAGGTATTCAGCTCGAGCCATGAGGTTTTGAACCTGCCCAGAGAAGGCATGTCCAGAAGTGAGGGGGCTTCAAATCAAGTGCCTCCTCACCCCTGATGCTCCCTAGAGTCCTCTGCCTCATTAGAATGCATTGTCTCTGATCCTCTATTTCTTCCCTCCTTCAGGAAGCCGGCCCTACTGCAGAAGGCCAGCAGACTTTTGGTTTTTCCAGTGACCTGAAGTCCTGAGTGAATACTGACTTCACTATTCTGAGCCCTAGCCTTGGGTCTTAGAATACCCAAGAACAGGGGACTCCATATGTAACCTAAAGAGCACACACACACACACACACACACACACACACACACACACACGCTGAGTAAAAAGAGGAAAACACCCTCCCTGACTCCTATCCCCACAGAGTACCTCTGTGTGAAGGAGCTCCCGCCTTCGGCCTGGGGCTTCTGCTGTAAAGAGAGGGAAGATGGTGAGGACAGGGCAGTCAGTGGCAGGGGCAGAAATGGTGCTGGGCCTTACCTGCCAACAACAGCAGCAGCTCCCCGAGGCTGTGCTGGTACAGGTCCAGGGCATCCTGCTCCTTGCCAGCTTCTTCCTCCTACAGCCAGAGGGGCAACACTATTCCATGTTATCCCTTGATTTCCTTCCTATCCCACCTGGACTCCTCCCAGTAAGCACAAACCTTGGCCATGGCAGCTGAGGCCACTTCTAGGGCAGCAAGGAGGCGGGGCTTGTCGCGGGCCATCTCTGACATGACAGTAAAGGCTCAGGGTGAGGGGAGCAGCCTGTGGTTTTTGCACACAAAGCCCACCTCAGTCTCTCTGCCAAGACTTAAACATGGATCAGGAACTGAAGCCTACCTCGCAGCAGGCCTTGGACAGATGTGCCCTGCCTTAGCAGGGCCTGATTGGAGGAGGAGACAATGGCTTTGAGCTCCTCTGCCCGAGACACATATTGTGCCACCTGTAAGAGAATAAGAGGCTTAAAGGCTGTCCCCCTAGCCAGTGCCCATACCCAAGTTTGCTTCTGGTCCTCAGTGACTGCCTCACACTACCCAGGTCAGACATCAAACAAGATGACCTGACCCAACCCTTCCCCCAGCCCTATCCTATGAGGAGGAGGTTCCAAATCTGAGTGCCATCTGTCAGAGGCTTGTGATCTCTGGGTCCTCTCCTTCCATGGCCATCCATTTCCTCCTAGGGGGATCACCCTACCTTGGCCTTAATTGCCTCTTTCCGCTGGGTATCCACTTCGTCTGCAGAAGGGGAAGGGTTCATGTGAGGAGTCTGGATGGGAGCCCCTGCCCCCAGTCAGCCCTCTGCAATCCTCACACACCAAGTTCCAGGTTCATCTTCTGCATCATCTCCCCTAACGTACTGAATGGGGAGTCTGACCCCACTCCTGCCCCTTCTGCACCCAGGTTATAGGAATGGTCTGGGCCTCACAGTGCAGGGCGGGTACAAAGAAGTCCAGGGCCTTGCAGTACAGTGACAGGGCTGCAGCAGTGTCCCCCTCCTGGTCCTTCTTCACAGCCTCCACCACAAGGGCTGTCTGGGGGGTAGGAGGATCCACAGTCAGAACCCCACCAGCTCTGCTTCTGTGGGCCATTTCACCACCAGTGTGGACAAATGAGACCCAGCCCACCCTATCTCCACCGGTCTGCTTACTGCTCGTGCCAGGCTCTCCCCACTGGGCATGTGCTCCAGGTCCACCCAGGGGTGGGCAAAGAAGTCCTGGAAGGAGATTCGACGGCTGGGGTCCCGCTCTAGAAGCCGCTGCAGCAGGTCACGGCAGTCTAAGGAGAGTTGGGGCCGAAGTGGGAGCTGCAGAGGAATAGATCAAGGCCACATCACACTGGGTTCCGACATCTGAGCCCAAAGCCCAAGGTTCCTTAGGAACTCCCGTAAGGGGTATATGTTTGTGAGTGGATTATCTGAGACCTGGAAAGAACATGGCGGGTCCTGGTGATGAGCAGGAGGAGAGCTAAGCATCCTTTACCAGGCCCCTATCAAATGGGAACTTGCCTCTAGCCCTGGCCTATGAGAAGACTGGGTCTGGCTCATCATGGCCTTTTCCCCAGAGGTCATTTATTTCCTGCTGTGGCTGATCCAGATCTTCAGGAATGGACCAGACTCTAGGCTTCCACTGCAGACCATGCCCCACCACCATGAAAGGCTTGGAGCCTAGACTGCAGTCTGTACCAGTGGAATAAAAACCTTAGGGCTTTGAATCCTTCAATCCCCAGTGGATGCCAATGCCCTGCAAGACACACCTCAATAACCCGATTGCTTCGAATCTTTTCTTCTAGCTCTGAGAATGATCTGGAGGCAAAAGGGGGCTTCCCAAAGAGAGCTTCTGTGGAAGAAGGCAGAGGGGAGGCTGGAAGGAAACAGGGTTAAGTCTCTCCTCACTCACCCCTGGGAAAGGAACCAAAATCCCTCTGAGTAGAGCCCTGGGTTCCTCAATTTACATTAAAACCCAGGAGTGGCCCAGAGAAGCCTTGCCCAAATACAGAGTAATCAGGGTGAAGAGCTAGGGAACAAAGGTCTTACCATACAGGATGACCCCCGTAGACCAGAGGTCCACACGAGCATCATACTGCCGCTGACACACCATCTCAGGAGCCATGTAGAGTGGGGAGCCACGAAGCACATGTTTCTCATCCCATGGGGACATGTGCTGTGCAAAGCCAAAGTCTGCAGGCAAGAGGCCAGGCACAGGGCTCAAATTCCAGTTACTTCTGTGACCCTGTGGCTATTGGCCCTCAGCACTCAACCTATATCACCCTCTGGGGTGGAAACCCTCCTTGTGACACAGCCTCTTAAACAAGCCCATCTCAAAACACAATGTGCACTGAAAGCCCCCTGCCCCCGCCCCCCAGGACTAAACTAGGTCATGTTCTCAGGCCTCCAAACTCAAGTTCATTCTTTTTCAAATCTTATCAGAGGCCACACCACCCTTCGGCTGCCATATTCGCCTCAGCTGTCCAGGCTGAGTGAGTCCTAATCCTAATGACAAATTAAATTGGGTCCCTGCTCACAGACTGATCCTGGATGCTGGTCACACACTGGCATCACTTCCAGATTGAGCCAGAGTGATCTGGCTCTGACAGACTCTGACCCAGAGTGATCCCTAACTCTACTGACAACACTGCAGGACTTAAGTGTGTACAGTCTGAGAATGGATGCTACCTTTTGGTGATGGGCTCAGCCCTGTATATCCTGACCTGTCACCAATGACTTAACAGAGGGCCCACTAGGAACTAGGCGGCCAGGAGCCCAGCAAGGAGCTCACTGTTTACCCCCTCTAAAACTTCACCCTGCTGTTCCCAACTCAGACCTGCTAGTTTCAGATGGGGCTTCTCCAAAGAGCTCAGCAGAATGTTCTGTGGCTTCAGATCCAGGTGAGAGATGTTTCGTTCATGCAGGAACTTCAGGGCACTAGCTGGGGAGCCAGCCCCATGAAAGTAAGTCACAGCCTAGTTCCTACCTGCCTCCCCCTGCCCCAGGCTCCATCTACCCTCTTGCAGCTGTGTTACTGCAGTTTTGCCCTGGCTGGTCAACAGAATACACTACAGGCTCTTGCCACCATTAAAGGCATGTGCCACCACCACCTGGAACTCCGCCACTTCTAAGAGATTTCCCAAATGCCTGCTGGTTGCACAGCCCCCCGCCCCCCCCCCCCCCGCGCCCCCCTTCCTTCTAGGAGCCTCCTGAGAAGCCCAAGCCCTTTAGGACTTTGCATTCTTCCTCACTAAAGCACTTGGGTTCCACCTACTGGGCTCTGAAGACTCTACAAGGTTCTTACATCATGTTTTACGTGTGGGAGCCTGAACTCTCCACAGATGCTAGGGACATGGGAAACAGCAAAGCTCTGGGATAGGGGAGAAGAGAACACGGGGCGTGCGGTGGGCTTTTACCCAGCTGCTGCATGAAAACTCGAGCCACCTTCTCAGGCAGGATCCTGCGGGTATGGATGAAGCGAGACAGGTCACCCCCTGCGCAGAACTCCATGATAAGGTAGATATTGTCATTGTCCCACTGTGGTTGGAAGTAAAGAGGCAGCTGTAGGCAGTGTCCCTCCTCCAGCCTCCTTTGGAGGGAGTCCCGCCCCAGGCTCACACCTGGAAGTCTTTCAGCTGTACGATATGGGGGTGCCGAATGCCCTTGAGGATCTCAATCTCAGTCAGGAGGTTTTCCACAGACGCCTTGTTGAGACTTTTCTTGGCCACGCATTTTATGGCTACCACCTCCCGAGTATCCTTCTGTGGGACAGGAAATTTGGGGTCTCTGTCTTGAGGGGGCCTGTCCCATGGGGCGGATAGAGGGTCTCTGGGTCCCTCTGCAAACTTCCCCCTGCCTGGGTCTATCCGCTCTCCACAGGCCTCCAAGTTTCCCAGCTTCCCCTTCTCAAATCAATGAGGCATCCGGGTTCTGGAATCCTGCCTTCCCAGCCCAGCAAGTGTTCTCCATCCCCGTTTCTAACCTACAGCAGTGCATTCTAGAGTGGCCAGAAAAAGGAAAGTCACTATTGGAAGAGCTGGCCACCCCGCCTTCTAACTGGTCCTGCCTCCTGGGATTCTGGTCTCAGACTCCTCCCAGCCCCTAAGGCGACTTCCGTGCGGGGGCCGGTTCTTCAGCCGCTGACACCTAGGTTCCCTAGGTCTTCGCCCACCCTTCCAGAGCAAGCTGGCGTGTGTTTGTTTTTAAACCTAAGAGGGGCGGTCAGCTCCAGCCTCTTCCACCCGCCTGGGGCCAGGCGGCCGCCTCTCTCCTGCTCCGGCCGGCCCGTCACCCAGCCGGGGTTGCTGGCACAAGAGCCGGGTGTCCGGCGCCGGGACACCTCGGGCACGGCCCGCCCACACCCACCTTGGCGTAGGCCTTGTACACCGTGGCGTACGTGCCACTGCCCAGGCGCTCGGTAAGGATGAAACCGTCCAGCCGAGGAAGACCCCAGCCGGGCCCAGCCATCCCGCGCCCGCCGCCAGGTGCTTCCTGGTTCGGGGCGCAGGTTCCGGGCCGAAGCGAAGTGGGGGGCGCTCGAGGGGCAGCGGGGCGGGACTCCGCAAGGCCCCAGCGCCGCCCGCCGGAAGCGCAGCTCGACACCTCCCCTCCGAAGCTCCTCCCTGCCCGCCGCGGGCTTGGTGACACCTTCTGCCTAGGACTGCCAGGCCGGTTTTCAGATACTCAGGCTTCAGTGGGCATAGCGTAAGTAGGTCGAGGATTGAGGACACTATCACACTGGAAACCCTCTCTCAGCACGCAGCATCCTAGGACCCACCCACACTGGGGGCGGGAGGAAGAGCCTGGCCTTCTGCCCTCTAAGACCAGAAGCAGTGGGGCAAGAAGATCCCTGGGTTCCACGGGGTGAAGGGAACCCCACTCCAGCAAGTTGTTCTCTGATCACCACACGTGTTCTGGGGTGCATACAACACACACAATAGAATATTAAAAAAAAACAAAGTTTTTCCGAGACAGGGTTTCTCTGTGTAGCCTTGGCTGTCCTGGAACTCACTTTGTAGACCAGGCTGACCTTGAACTCAGAGATCTGCCTGTCTCTGCCTTCCAAGTGGCTGGGACTAAAGGAGTGCACCACCATGCCCGGCTAAAAATAATTTAATGCCTTAGGAAGAGGCCAAGTTGCCAATGCCAGGGCCCTCGATTCTGCCTTTCACTCTTGGAAGGGGTTTCTCCTCAAGAGTGGAGTGGCTTAACAGTCTCTCATAGTCCAGCTGCCAAGGATCTTAATTATCACCTCATCTTAGTAGGCCCTCAGCCCTCCCAAGTCCACCAGAGACATAAGGACCAGTGTTGTCTGAAAATCTTATTTTTATTTAAGCACAAAAATTGAGACATGACATATACATTTGTACATGGAGGAAAATACCAGAAAGTTAACAAAATCCTGGTGGCTGTCATTACCATTCAGTGGCTCTAGTGATAAATGGGATGACAGCATGAGGGTAGCCTCAGGAGGGCCCCAGTTCCCAGAGGCAGGAGGCTGGCCATCTTGGTGAGCTCCTGCAGCACTGACACAGCACAGGGTCCAGGTTTCAACGGTGACCTCCTAAGTGTCACTGTAGTGACACCTGTGGAGTCTCCAGCACAAGTGGAAAGGGACCTAGACTCCACTGTGGGTATGGGAGGAACCCTCAGAAAGATGGCTCAGCAGTCCTGCCTGCAGGATATAGTTCTGGACTGACATCCTCCAGCCACCCTAGGAGTTTTAAGAGGTGAGTATTGCTGAAGATGGGGCAGGAATAAGGCTAAGGCAGAGAGGCAGAGTCCCTCAAGAGGGCAGAAGCCAAAACAAACTGGTCAAATGACACCTACCCTCTCTCAGAAAACTGCCAGAGGCTGGGCAGGACAACTTGAAGGACTGCTTTCAGTCCCTCCCAATCCCCAAGTCCCAACCAACCTCACTCAGAAGTCTGAAGAGAAGGGCTAGCCTTCGTTTCAGAGGGCACAAGGTGCTATTACACCATGGGACAGAGAAAGCATAGAGGGTCACGACTATTGTGAGGAACATCTGGGGGCCACCTGAAGCATCATTTGAGGAGCATCTGTGCACCCACCCAGAACACAGCTCATCTAAAGTGGAGCCCTGGGGAGGCTTATGAAGCCTAAGCATGAAAGGTGAGACTGTGGAGGCCCCAATACAGGTCAAGCCTGCAGAGGGTGGAGAGGAGTCCAGGGTGCCTATGGAAAATTCCTGGTACAGTGAGCCCAGGTCTTCCAGTGATCCTGTGTGGGGTGTGAACACGCATGCATGTAAGTGCATTTGTTTTCAGGGGATGCAGCCCCACTACTTCCAGACAAAAATCCTACCATCAGAAAATCCACCGTTAGAAAAGGAAAGACAGCTTTGTTATTTTTTTCTTTTCCCTTGTCCCTGTCCCTGTCCCTTCCTGCCCTTCCCTTATGTGGAAGGGAAAGCTGACTACTGACTACTGAGGAAGGAACAGGAACAAGACAAAATCCCTGCCAGGTCTGTGCTGGGCATAACCACTGTATAAGGCACCCACGGAAAGTGCAGCTCAGAGGGCAGGTGAGAGAAGACGCTGGGTGAGGGAAGGAGAGTCAGGAAGATTAATTCCCCTGGAAGGTTCCTCGGGCAGCAGATGAGGCAGCACTGCGGAAGGTTCTGTTGCTGAAGATGCCCTGGGAAAACTCTTCCTGAGCCTGCTGGAAGCTGGCTCCTGTTCGGCGGTAGAAGGCATGTACCTAGGGAACAAGGCTGGGGTGAGAAGAGCCCAGAGCATCAGGGTATGCTCCCAAAGGGGCCTCCCAAGAGTTCAACCTTGCCTGGCTGCTCACCCGGAGCCTTGGACAAAGGTGTTGGGCTCCTGAGGACTTCAGGAATGAGGAATATTTAGATGCCCACCCAGGAAGAGATGGAGCTTTTACTTGTGTTTGCTGGTAGGTCACACCCTACTTACCCGCTGCAGGAGGAAGAGTGAGAGCCCAGCACAAAGGGTAAAGAAGCCAGCCACTACCATCATGATGATAGATACAGGTAAGGGCCCATCGCGCAGTGTAGACAGGGCTGCAAGCCAACCACTACAAAAGGAGACACAGAGGTGAGGTAAGATTGAGACTTAGAAGCCCCCAAGAGGAGCATTTCTCCCAAATGACTGTGTCCTGGCCATCACCTGGGCATCTCCCTGCAGCACAGGGAGCTTTGTGGTTCAATGTGAAAGACCAGGATGTGAGCACTGATAGGCCCACACTGTTCCAACATGACCGCTCCTGAAGTCTCAGAGGTGGAGGAGTCACATGGAAATCTGGCCCAGCAAGGTCAAGAAAGGAGATGTGACAACTGCCTTGTCAGGATCAGCCCAAGGCTCAGTGTATGTTGCTGATTGAGGGTGGGCACAGGGAAGACACTGGCTCTGCACAGAGGACTCTGGGGAGAAGAGCACTGGCCAGCCTGTTGCCTTTATCTTGTCACCTCAGCTTCCCTCATCAGGACCTCTGCCTTTAGTGGTTATGTCATCCCCACAGCCTCAGTGTCCTTAGCTGTAAAGGGATTTTTCTCATGCTGCCTGACTTCAAAACTTACAACAAAGCTACAGTAATCAAAACAGTGTGGGAACAGCATGAAGACAGAGCAATGCCATAGGCTTCAGAGTCCAGATATACCTATTTTAAAAAGCGATTTTAAAATTCTTTTCTATGCATTGTTGTGTCTGCATAAGGGTGTCAGATCCTCTGAAACTGAAGTTACAGACAGATGGGAGCTTCCATGTGGCTTCCGGGAATTGAACCCAGGTGCTCTGGAAAAGCAGCCAGTGCTCTTAACCACTGAGCTATCCCTGCAACCCCAGTCTACCTTTTTTCTTTTCTTTTCTTTCTTTTTTTTTTTTAATAAGGGTCCTAAAACCAAAAGGGAGCAGTGAGATGATTCAGTGGGCAAAGGTGCTTGATGCCAAGTTTGATAATTTGAGTTTTATACTTGAATTTATCCTTGGACCTTCACATCATGTCCTGGCACATGTGTCCCCTACCCTGATAAATAAAAGGAATTTTAAAAAGGTTTTAACACCCCAAAGGGGAACTTATAGTCTCTACAAATGATACTGGGACAGCTGGTTCTTACTTCAACCATATATTAAAATCCACTCAAAATGGGGCAAGGATTTAATTGTAAGAGCGGAGGCTGTAAAACTCTTTGAAAAGCCAGGCATGGTGGCACACACCTTTAGTCCCAGTACTGAGAAGGCAGAGGCAGGAGAATATAAGTCCTAAGACAGCCTGGTCTACATTTCAAGCTCCAGGACAGCAAGGACCATAGAGAGACCTTGTCTCAAAGTAACAAAAACAAATTCTTAGAACAAAAACAGAAGTAACTTTCCATGACCTTGAACTTACTGGTGGTTTAAGTGTGACACCAAAAGCGCAAGCAACAATAGAAAATTACAGCACCAGAGAAACCTGGTTCACCCAGTAAAGGACTTGCCACCAAGTCTGACAACCTAAGCTTGATCCCAAGAACCCACATGCTGGAAGGAAAGAACTGACTCTCACATGTGGGTCTCTGCATACATGTACATGTACACTAAAGGAAAATCAAAACCTCTTGTGTATTAAAGCTAAGTGCTGTGGCTTATACCTGTAATCTCAGCAATTGGGAGGCAGACCCGGGAAGATCAGCAACCTTGTTTCAAAAAAAAAAAAGGCATAGGAGAGCTAAACTGGTAAAGTGCTTGCAGCATAAGCTTGAAGACTTGAATTCAGAACCCATATAAAAAACCCAGGTTTATAATCCAGGCAGCGCTAGGAAGGCAGAGACAGAGACAGGTGGATCCCTGAAGTCTGCTGGTTTAACTAGCCTTTCCAGCAAACTCCAGGCTAATGAGAGATCCTGTATCAAAAAACTGTGGAGAGGTGGCAAAGTGACTCAGCAGGTAAAGGTGCCTCCTGCCAAGTCTGACAAGCGAGTTCAATCCTGGAACTCAAGTGGCAGACAGAGGGTTCCTGCAAGTTGTCCCCTGACCTCCATCTGGATGCATGCGACACACATGCACACACAGACACACACACACACACACACACACACAGACACACACACACACACACACACACACACACACGCAGCAAAAAAGAAACAAGGTGGATGGTGCTTGAAGAATGACCCTCTGTCTACCACACAGAGGTGTACATATGCATCCCTACATGAATATTCTTGCACATACATAGAGAAAACAAAATGGTCACAGAAGGTCTATGGGAAGGCAAGAACAGGCAGGAACCACCAGAACTCACTGAGTACAAGTCAGTGAGGGCAGGGCCAGCACCAGACATCAAATCTCAAGGGTCACAGTCCAGAGTGCACACAGCAGTTATTAATCATAGCATGTCCCAGCCCATCACCACTCTTTTATTTGAGATACCATCTCACTATGTAGACCTAGATCTTGTTATACAGATCAAGGTGGCCTCAAACCAAGAGCTTCATCTGCCTCTGCCCTCCTGAGTGCTAGTATTAAATGCATGAGCCACCAGGACCAGCCCTCATTTGTTTTTTTGAGACAGAGTTTTTCTGTATATTCCAAGCTGGCCCAGAAC